AATAAACTGTTGTTAGTAGCGTTTTGTATTAACCGTTTGATCAGACTTTAAAAGCTACCTAACACATCACACACTTGTGTTCCTACCAAACACAAAATACCGGCTTCCTATCAAAGCAATCTTAGCAATCTTAGCAGTCGATGTAAATGGTACTCTTGGATCTGTTTATGCATTTTTATGCATAGGACTCTTAAGCTAGATGCATCTCTTATCTCCAGTTAAGATACGGCGCAAAAAAGAATTTTTTTTCATCGTTCAGGCAGAGAAAGAAATGCTGGCAATAAATACTGACTTGATACAAAACGTGACATTTTCATTGGAAGAAAAAGCATTTGTACTATGTGTTCGCATTATCACCCATTGTTATTGCTAGGAGTCAAAAATTTAGGAAAAAAAAAAAAACAACTTCGGGCATTTATATTCTTTGTAGGTGATGTTAGGGCAATCTATGAATAAATTCCGGTTTCATTTATACACTCCTAATAAGTAAACAACACTTTATGTGTAGTTTTCTGTTATTATATTATGAGCAAATTTTTCTCTCTGTTTTCTCGAAAAATATAAAATGTCTTCCCAACAACAACGTTGACTTAAGAAAAAGGTAAAAACATTTTAGTCGGGCAAGACCGGCCGTTAAATGTTTGATTTATCTAGCATTCTTTACACTTTATCCCCATGTAATGGCATAGGTTTTATGCATGGTCAAAAGACGGCCCATTTTGGCCCATGAATTTAATATACGAAATTCAGTGATTGTTTATCTCAGGAATTGTGATCTATATGATGAACAAAAAAATGCATCAGAGAGGTGACGAGATGGTGAAGAGGGATGGACGGACAAACGGACATGCAAGCGCTAATCAATACAAAAACTGCTTCTAAGTTGGTTCGTACAATAAAAGTTCAGTTTATCATTCATCCATAAGTCCTTCTGAGTGTGACATACAGCTGCGTAAACTTAATAGGATTTTTTCGTTCCAATATTTTTAAATAATAATATAATTAAAAGAAATGAAAAAGAGAAGAAGGACTTTAAGTATAAATCGAAAGGAAAAATTCCAATTCGAAGACAGATAGTTTAATATTTTTTTCTTCTTTTTTTTGGCTAACAAATTAAAGAATATATAAAGTTAAGTAGTGAAAAAACGCCATAGCAAATAGTAAGTAAGTGCAAGTGCCGACGCAGTGAAGGATAAAAATGCAAATGCGAATGCAACCGTTATTGTCAAGGGGTTTATTGTTTAGACACACCATTAATCACATTATCGGTCACTGAATTGATAACTTTGCTTGCTTCGCTATATTCTATATTTTGCCTTTGTTAAACTATATAAAATGTTTTCGTCGCTTTCTAACGAATGACGAATAATTTATATCAATCAACTGAATATCAAAATATGCTGGTAGCATTTAGCATATATTTATGACGTACACTTGCAGAGAGATGACCATCATTAAGTTTAAGTAGAAATAGATAAATAAAATGCTAGATATAATATATTTTAAGTTTATGCAAGTTAGGATGGCCTATGTTAATTAGAATATTTGAGAGGCAAAAAAAAAAAAAAGAAAAAAGAAAGATAAAGTTCGAAAAGGTTTGACTAATTTTTAACTTTTTTGAAATATACTTTTTTTTTTCAAAATACCCTCCTTAACGATTGATTCAATTTCGCATAAGTTAAAATTCCTTTTCGCTGATGTTTTCTCTAGCATGCAAAAGAAGCAGAACACGCCAAGATATATAGAATTTTAAGGCGCACTTAAGCACTTTTTTCTTTTCTGTTTTCTATATCGTTTCGGTCGTGTGGTTACCGTCGTATCGTTGCTATGTTAGTTCGATTGTATCTTTGCTGAGGCAGCTTTTGCTTTAAGAAATTCGTGTTGGGATCTAAGTGTCCCCATCCCTCCTTATAATAATTGGTTGCTACTTAGATCTTTGCCGTCACATGATGGTATTGGGCATTGCTTTCATAGCGAAGCTGATTAATGGTATCGATTGACTCGCCGTTTTTGTTGAGTGCGATATTCATATATATATATCCTTGTCCGTTTGACATGGACCTTGCTTTTTATTAAACTATGATCTTTTTCGATCCACTTACGTTTCGCGGTAGCAATCTTAATGAGGAATTCTCTTCCATCCATTAAGATTACTCTTTTTAATGCCCGTGCGCAGTCGACGTCTTGCCTAAACTAATTGTTAAAGCCGATTATTCGGAATCCGGATATGGAGCTTGATGAGTAATTGATAGACACATTGTCTATTTTCTTTTATGTTTGTTTAATTAGTTTAAGCCTTGAAATGTACGATTTGCACAATTCAGCTGAATTCTGTATTTATGGAAATTGAATTAAACGAACATTTATGGAAATAAACTAGTGATGAAGATATGAAGAAAATTTGAAATATTTATACTCAACAATTATCGATTAAATATTGTAGAATAATTTGATACGATTTGGTTGCTTCAATTCACTTTAAGGAACAATTTATGGCAAAACAATTGTTTTTGTTTTTTTTTTTTGCATCACGAAATTTGATCGGATCATCGTATTTACTTATTATTGTTTCGATGTGCTTGTAACTTTACTCTCCGTTAAAGAAAGCATCTATTAAAACGAATTTATTGAGTAATTTGAAGATTAGAGCAAAAATCAAGGGCCAGATATGTTTCGAAAAGTGAAAGGGAATTTTTTTTGGACGGATGTTAATCCAAAGACTGACTCTGAAGACTTGAAGAAGATTGTTGCAAAAAATGCTTTAAGTTATATCCAGTTTTTTTTTTTTTTTAAATACGAATCAATCAATTGCTTTCGAAGTGCTTCAACGTCTTTACAAGACGTTACAATTTCTTATTTTATATAGTCTTCAGTTCGGTTTTTAAAGTAGACGATTGAAGTTGTGATGAATTCTTTTTTTTTTTTTTTTTTTTCGTTAATTTACATAACGTATTTTTGCATCAATAGTCAAATTGTGCGATTAAATATTCATGGAATATAGAATAATGTCTACAAATGCTTACATATTATCGCAAGTTATATAAGAATATTATTCTATTTGTTCATGCGCAAAATAAGTGGGGAAGTATTAAAGTAAATTGATGATAAAAAATATTTATTTTAAGCGTAATTCCAAATTTCGAGTTATCATTAAAAAATAAATAAATAAAAAATTTAAAAACACATACGAGAATTATATATTTGGCTATGACTACGGACGTGGCCGATAGTATAAAATCGCGCATATACTATATGTGAAAAATTGTGTCGTCATATTTGTTGTAGAATATTAGAAAACTTTATTTTCCGCTTTTTGAAAACAGTGATCCTACCAATTTTAGTTGTATGAATGTAGGGTGTATCCTTTGCTTGAATTCGCTCATTTTTAGTACGAACTTTTCAAGAGCTTCTCATTGTTTTTTGAAGTTCTGCAACCAGGAAAGTGCTTACCTCATATGGGTCGATAGACAAACTAATATATTTTAATGCTAGATGCTGAGGAAGAATACGTATACTGTATGGGATTTTTGAGACTTTCTTGTGGATGCAAAATGTTTTAGCATGGAATGGATGTACTTCTCATATTTCGGTGTTAGCATATAAATGCAATAAAATTGATTTGACGAACCCACTTTTTATTATACTGAAACTGATTCAGAAAATGATTCTAACTCGATTTACGCCTGTCTGCCTGTCTGTTTGCTCATGGAGAATTGTGCTCAAGTTATAGATCGAAATTTTGTGAGTCAATTTAGTACATTGCCGCACTTTGACCCAAACTCTATTGCAAAACTCACTCTATAATAATATTTGAGCATTTCGGCTGAGGCAATTTTGTGAACCCTTCCTCGTATAATCGTTACCATGAAAATTGAATCGTTATATAGTAAAAAGGTATAACTTTTAATATTTCATGGTCAAACCTATTTTATTATAGTATAGATGACATGGAAATCAATCTTAGCTACTTTGGTGCACGGAGCATATAACGATTTTTCCGGACATTCATGAAAGGGTATGCGTTTGCATAAAAATAATATATAGCTTTTAGTGTATTATTACCAAAGCCCGGGAATAACTGCATTAGACGAAATGGTGTAGGATATCTAATAGTTCGTCTTGTCCGACTATAATGTTCTTAATTACTTTTGAATCAATTTTTCGAAAAAATCTTACAACATTGGATAGATTTTGAGTTATTTTGTCAGAAAATTTGTAGATCGCTGTACTAAAAAATTGTGAATTGAGTTGGCGCGATGTAAGAGACCTCAAGAAGTCAAACATAGTCTTTTAAGCGCTGGCACGCTTTTATGTTGTTTTTAAAGAACCTGAAAGAAATTGTTTTATGTACGTTGATACTTATTCATTCATATATAAGAACCCTTTACCTATCACTTGTGGCCCATGGGTATATTCTCCGCATTTATGCAACACCTAGAATGACTTGAGACAGATCCATATAGTTATTATATAGATAAAAGCGATTCTAAATCGATTCTTAATCCTTCTATAGATATTTCGATGAAATTTGCTACACCGTCCCGAAGATGAATACTATCATCAATGGTGCGCATTGTACCACTCTCTCTACCACTTCTCATACGAAGCCTTATTTTGAAATGTCGTTATATGAATAATTGTATTAAGTGAAGCGGTAAAGAGCATTCAATGATGGGCGGCGTCAAACTGTAGTAGTTGTACTTTTTTCACAATAAGTCCACGAAAGTAATAAACTTTTTTACTGGACTTAATATGATCACTCGATTTCGTCTTTGCCTATTGAAGCGATATTCTTTACGGAAATTTCCGTAATGCATGCATTCGATGGAAGATCCATGATTAGCAAACAGATAGAAGCTGTTAGCTTAATACTGATAATCACTGATAATTAAAATAATTACGTATATATACATGTATATCTAAATTCTATATAAGTAATTTTAATTAGCTTTCTATCGGAGTTGATTTGATTTTGTGTACATTTCGTTTTTTCTTTTCAGATTTTCGTTGTATCGCCAACTACCCAGTAGACTCTAAACTCGATGCCAAATTTCTAATTTCTTAAACATTATGCGCTTATGTATGTCGGCGAATAGAAATTGAATACAACTGTCACCAAATTACTTAGAAGTTTTTATATTATGTGTATGTGAATATATAGAAAAAAAAAAAATAAATAAATAAATATTTTTGAAAAATAAAATTATCTGAATATGCGTTTAGCGAAAATTTCAAGTACAAAAATATTGAAAAATGGTGCACAAAAAACAGAACAACAACCCGGTAATCAGCCGCAAAACAATGATTACTCAAATAAATCTCAAGGCGGAAAGGTTAAGGTGTAGAGCTTAGCTTTCATTTTAGATAAAATAGTTTTTTTTTTTTTTTTTTGTATATTTTACGTTAGCGTATTTATATAGTATTGCTTATTTAAATTTATTTATGTTTTTATAGCGCATCAGCGGACCCCTTAGTCTCCTCAGTAGTTCGAATAGTGGAAGTTACCGCAATAGTTTACCAAGTGTAGTTAATGCCAATTCGCAGAGCTTTGGCAACGGTAGCTGCATTTCTTTGCCATCCGTCGCGAATTCCAACACTCTCAGTAAACGTGCGCTTGGTGGTATTATTGGAAAACGACGTAAATCTAAGACAACAAAGTGTTTTAGTAGCACAGTGTTTCGCTGTTGCCTTCCTTGTCGCGGGGGCAGCGGCTCAGCAGCCCCCGCTACAAGTCCCCCACACACGCCTACCTTGCACAGCCCAAACGGCAATACTTGTGAAATAAAATCCCGTAAGCATTCAAGAAAATCCAGTGACTTACCCGACGTTGATGAATCTTTCCTTGCTGCAGCAGCTGCATCACTAAAGAAACATTCTTTGGCTGACACTATAAACACTTCAGCTACTACTCCTATATCATTAAAAACTTTAATAAACGACGAAGAGGAAGACTTGGAAGCACCACAGCTGAGTGCGGTTGATATCGCAACCGCTACTCTAGCATCGGGCATTTTACCTCGCAAAGCAGAGCCTGAAACACTCAGTGATACAAGCATATCGCCAACGGCAGCTGTTGTACAAATAGCCGCAGGTTCGGCTTCTGCTAGTTCATTACTCTCCACCACAACCTCATTGCTGTCGGCAACAGCTACCGGTACCGCGACACAGCCTTCTCCAATTGTTCCGCCTTCTAAAGCGAGCGAAACTACTATATTAGCTACTGGTACAATAGCGTCAACCATAGTTAGCACTGCGTCAACGGCAGTTGCAGTAGCTACAGCCGCAGCGGGTACTACACCACCGCGTTGCTGCTGTCCACCGCAGACCTCACCTTTACCCCATATCAAAGAAGAAGAAGAGTCTGAACAATTATTTAATCGCCAACATAGCACTGGTCGAGACGACGACTACACAGAGTCTTCTTCTGAACGACCGCAACTTGATCAACTATTACCTTATACCACCAATCCTAGTGGTAGCAGTGAGAGTTGCACCTCACTCTCAGCGACCACTGCCGGTTGTACAACACAAGACTTTAATACATCTACACCGTCGCCCCGCATTAAGCTCAAATTTCGTAAACAACATAAGGCGGGCTGGTCACGCATTATCTTAACTTCCGGTGCCACCAGCTATGCTGCTAATTCAAGTGATACCTTAGCTTCCACAGGTAGTAACACGAATAATAGCAGTAGTATTAGTGCAGCAACTGTCAGTGCTACTATTGGTGCTCATCATCAAAATCGTTTAATTTCATCACTGACCTCAGCACTTGGGGTTCCGCAATCGTCCAGTTCGCAGTTATTGCCTGCCAGCAAAATGCAAGCCGAACAGGGCTCAATCGGTGATTTACAAAAGTATCACAGTCGCTACTTGAAGAATCGACGGCATACGCTGGCAAATGTTCGGTGAGTATTTCATCCTCAATATTTCCCTACATAATATTCATCATAATTTCATATGTAAGTTTAATATGGAAATTAAATTTAAATGATGAGGTATACAAACGCTTTGACTGGAATTTCATAGTAAACGCAGGTAGCTAGATACTCAGTCATATGAATAAACAATGGTTTTACTATCAGAGCATCTATCAGATGCTTACATATGTAAACATATAAACATGCTATCCATTTTTCTTGGCTAATAAGCGGTCAATAATTCCCGTGATCAACTTTATCAAAGAAGGCGCTTCTAAGAAACAATTCCGTAGAAGTTGTTCTACAAAAATTTCATATCTATCAAAATCTCACTATCAAATCAAAATATCATGTCTTCCTTATGCTATTGTTTACAAGTTACACTGAGTAAATTCAGTGACGTTTATTTATATTATCTTAAAATGGAAATGGAAAATCTTAAATTTTTTTTATTGATTTTCTTTCCCTTTTTTCTTTTGAGAATATTGGAATGCGAATAATAGGTCGAAAAATACTTTTGTACAAAATGCATTTCAACCTTCGCCATGTCAACCTTCAGTTAAGATTCTTTTCAAACTTCTTCGTAACGGACGCTGTTGTCATGCAAAAATAGCAAAGGACAAGACACCTTGCTTAGCGTGAACGTAATATGCGTAGTCTTTTTATCATTTATTGTAACATTCCGTTTATTTAGCCAAAAGAATACCGTTTAAAGTAAGCATTGAATTGAAAAGTGTTGTGGCAATTTTCCTCCGTCCAACACAAGGTTATATATGTATTTTAAAGAGATCGATCGTATAAAGTGAAACTAATTTTAATTATGATAAGTTTAGAAGATAGTAAGCGTTATAGGTAAGGTAAGGTAGTAAGGCGATCTTACAGTCGTCTCTCATCCCATCTCTTGTAATCAGATTCCTGCATAGAGCATCATGTGAAAGATATTAAGTAGCTTCCGGAAAAAGAAAAAATTATTCTCGTACGCGATGAGAAGAGCGTATATTAAGAATGAATCAATCAATTTAAACAGATCAGATGGCTCTTTTCTCATCGCAAATGTAAGTTGAACTGTGTATTGGATGCTGTCATAATGTCATAATGCATGCAGCACCCAAAAGGACACTTCAGAGACCCTATAAATTATATATATTCCTGATCAGCATAAAATTCTGAATTGATAAAGCCATGTCTGCCCGTCTGTGCGGTAAATGTTGTTGAGCCTCTTGAAATGAAGATATCGACTTTAAATATGTTAGAATAGATTGGCATTAAAGATAGGCCAATTTGGTCGGAGCACAAGTCCGCAGTCCGAAGCGTAAACTGAGTGCAACTGCCTTTTTCTTTTCTCCTTTTACTTGGGTGTTTTCGTGCATTCACTATTTTACTCAGCAACTATTATTTTTTTGCAAGTTTTAAAAGGAAGATCTAGAAAAACAGTTTTCGATCAAGCGATAAGGTCGTTGCGGAAAATCAAGCGATTGGTAAACGTCTTGAGAACTTGAAACTTTGTGTCAAGTCATCAAAATCGGTAAGAAGAATTGAACTGATTTTCTGAGTCCCGTAAATTATTGACCGATGCATTGAATAGTTAAAAGGACCAGCATAATACGCGTACTGGCAAATCTATACACATGCTTTTCAAATGCCTACATATGCGCTCCACATGCGATAGCCATAACAGCTACTATTGTAGAACTTATTAAATCATAAATTATCTGTGATTTCATGCTGGTCATAATGTGCGGTAGAATGTATATACATTTTAATCTTATTACTTTCGTTGCCCTCAATTAACGCGAAGAATTTTCATATGTGTAGTAGTGAGTTTTCATTATTTTCGTCTGCTATTTTCAGTTAAAATTCATTTGCCCTCAACGCAAACGAACGTTTATTATTGTAGGGAATAAATTGGAATTTTGAAATGTGTTTGCGTTTATGTCTATGTATGAATAAAGGTGAAGTTGGTTTGAAAGCTTTAGGGAGTAAAAGTTTTACAAAAATACGCCAAATTATTAACAGTCCATGAATGCATAGTTAAACAAAGCAGGAAACTGAAAATATTCAAACCTGGGATTAAAATAATTTCAAACTCATTTTTGTGTTCCTTTCTTCCTATTGTGTGGTACATCATATATACATTGCGTTTGACGTTATTAACAAATCTACTCTTTTGCAAAGTAATGCATGGAATCTCCTTTACATGCTATACAAACCAATTGTTCTCTTAATCATAGTCCCATCTATATTTATACGTAACGCTGAAACGAATACTTTTTTTGAAGGTCTGAATCAACTCCGCCAAACTTGGGTAGCGTTTCTTTTTCCACTTAACATGAAAACGGGCGCGACGGCATCGTGACGGACAGCAGATGATGGACGATGTGCAAAAAACGATGATACGAATTAGACAAGCATTTAACAAAGAGACTAAAGCCAAATATTCAAGGTGCCCGCAGCAACTGTTGCAACTCAAGTGAAAAACAATTTCTTAAAAAGAAAAGTGCACTAATTTTTCAGTGTGAAAACGTTCGTTAGTGCTTCTTATGATTAACATAAATTTCAATCAATTATCACCTGTGAGAAGAACGCTTATGAAATAGACACTAACACATCGGTGTGCCCTCTCTCTCTCTCTCTCTTAAGTTTACTGCTAGCAATGGGCAACAGTTTAAGTAAAATATCTTTTACCATCCTCTTGAAGTAGGTGCTTTTTTCAATTAAAAGAAGCAAAACCAGTATATAGCGGCGAGGCCCAGGTAGGGTTAAATACCCTACATCATCCTATATATATATCCAAAGATCAACTTTTCCTTATACGCCTTATAAGGCGTTATAGGGGAAGTTGTCGAAAAGATGGTGCGCCCCGAACCATCGTCAATAGAGTAAGCTGCTAGTCCACAACATGTCAGTCTAACCAATTTCATCGAAATTTTTTAAAAATTTACGACTTGTAGTTTGAATACAAGAAAAAACGTTACACAATCGGACGGACAAGCTTAACTCAATTCAGAATATGATTCTGAATAGATTAGTATAGGAAAAAGTTATGTTTAACCCAAGTCCTTTTTGGTGTTGCATACATCCGCACAAACTTAATATACCCTCACATCGCAAGTGATGTAAAGTATAAAAAATATTTTTCAAAAAATAAATCTGGATAGTCTAAAGCAATAATAGAGAAAAAAAGCAAACAAAAAAATTTATCGAACTGGGGGATAAACATTGATTTTATAATATTTCCACGATTCAAGAGAGGGACAATTTTCTCCATTAGAATATGCTTTCGTGTCAATAAATTAATTTTATGAGAGTGAAACCACGTCATTTTGAAATTTTACTAACACTTGTCAACTTGTTACACATACGGAAATGAAGTATAATTGCTTGTGACAGTGCCAAAAGGACTTATCCGTAATTCTAACACCGCATGCGGTGAAATATCAACAATAAAAAATTGAAAAGCAGCCAAAACGGAAATATATACAAAATTAAACGCAAATAATTTAACAAATAAAAAAAAAATATATTTTTTGTTTTAATATTTATGTGCTTATTATGATTAGGCAGAAAGAGAGAGAGAGAGAGAGAGAGAAAGAGAGAAAGAGCGAGAGTGAGAGAGAGAGAGAGAGAGGGAGAGAGAGAAAGAAAAAGTAAATTAAGAAATCAAAGCTTGAAAAACAATACATAAATATTTCAATAAATCTTCTTGAAAATCAAAAAAATACTTCTCCACCCCCTAGACTGACTGCCATCATTTTGTAGAAGAACAAATTTAAAAAAGTGTTCCGAATTTTCCAAAAAGGAATATGTAATACACTTTCATTTTTCTGTTTATTGCTGTTTCTGGCTTTTCTCAATACTTTCACTGGTGATTGGAAGTTTGCTTAGTTTTACATCTCGTACGCGACCTTTAAAACTATCTACCAGAAATTCGCTCAAGTCGGGCATATCTGAGTTGACAAATCATTTCAATCAGGCTGGAGGATGCCCATGACGGATTTATATTGGTTCAATGCCATTGTATGTATATAACATAAGTGCATAGATTAATTTGCAAAGTGTCATAGGTAATCAATGATTCGCTCCACGCCGTATATAAACTCAATCTTTTGCCTTTCTTCCTTCCTACTTCCGCTTAGATAGATATTGGAACTTGAAACTTATGTAAAGTTTTTCTTAAAACATGCAAGCTCTTCTTTAGGTAACTGAGAAAGTTTTTACTGATTATATTATATGCAAGAAAAATAAGAAATAAAGAGGTAGATAGATAGATAGATAGATAGATAGATGGAGAGAGAGAGAGAGAGAGAGAGAGAGAGAGAGAGAGAGAGAGAGAGCTTGGTTTTTTTAAATTCCGAAAAAAGCCTGTGGACGGACTTAGTTGAATTTCGCTACATACATTTTACATACATTTTGTCAAATCGAATAATTAATTTTTTTGAATTGTTCCAATAAAATGAACCTATGAACTCATTGATGCTGTTAGAAAACATTATATGCTTCGTAAACGCATCGAAAAATTATTGATTAGCATTATAGCAACGTGTGAAACCGGTAACAAATTTTTTAGCTACCTAACATTAACCATTTTGTGCACGTTACTGACTTTCAAAGTTATTTTGTATTCTGAAGGCTTGCTTATCTTTATGTAACATAGAGAAACGTAAAATCCAAACTTTAGAAATTAAAGGAAAACTCACGAAATAGAGGTAAAGTGTTTTCATATATTTATTTTTACCGTTAAATAAGCAAAGAAATGGAAGGTAAAAATGGATTTTCTAAAAATCATGTACAAAAAATTTTAGTTTATTGCACTCTACGCTATTCGCAGTATAGTTACAAGCATTAAGAAAATCTTAACAGAGACAATTGATTGAAAATTATTTTCTGCAACAATTTAACCCTGTCCGTTGGCCCGGATAAATTTTGTGAATTAATTTTTGTATTAGTCATAGATCAAAGTTTTTAAATTATTTTAACCAAATCAGGTA